CCAGATGTTCCAAGAAGCAGTGACGGCACCAGACCTCCTTGTCTGGGATACCCGGCTTTGTCTGGGCCTTGTTTGTTACCCCCGCGGATCAGCACCTGTGATCAGGGAGATGTGACTATTGTTTGTTACATTTTGTTATATAAGCGAGCTTTAACTCGGTATAAAATGAGTTCAACTCCTGTTCCAGCTCTCGACAAAGCCGACTCATCTGCGCATCAAGACCCCCCTCTCGGTACCACACTCACATCCTCACACACACCACACAACACAGACCCCCTGGGCCCGCATATAGGCACGTCTTGCCACCTAGCGCCACGTTACTGTAGAAGCGATATTGCCGTTAAGTTGTCGGCATGTTATGCAGATGACGCAATAGTACGCAAAAGATATGCCTACCGTATACGCAATGAAGGGAGTAAACATCGATTACAGAGATTTTCTCGGGCAACGCACCTATGTTGCTTCTATAAAATACACAGCGCACATATGGAAGCGATAATGGGATTATGTTGTTATGTCACACAAATCAAGCGTCAACAAATACAAAATATTGCTTCCGTATATGTGCAGGACAGCAAACGTTTGAAGGAGTGGCTCATCTGGTATAACCCTTCGTCTATCCTCAGGATCTGGATCCGCATATAGTTTATGCGTGTTAAATGAATTTTGATGAGCTTTTCTAAATTTAAATTTCCTGTCAATAAAATTCTTTTCCTATTAATAAAACTTTTTGCATATCATGACAAACAATATTTCACCGATTAAACGCAACAGAGAAGGAAAATCGGAACCAGCTGACTGGCTAAACCAAACACCTGCAGCATATCATCCCACATAAACAACACATCTTGCACAGTATTTCGGCGTAAAGGTCAGATATCCCGTACAGTACATTACATTAGGCCATTCCGGAAATATCCCACCCGTTATTTGTGAATATTCTACATGGGTCCCGTACAGGAATATCAGAGATACCATACAGAATTTTCAGGCATCCATTCCATAATATCGTTCACAGTTTCTCGATATCTTGTACAGAGATGAACCCACATCCACCTGCTATCTTGTACAGATTTTTCTGCTATCCAGAGCACATTTTTCTGCTATCCAGAGCACAAAAATAGGGCATTGGTACATGTACGGCATAGTTGCAGTACATGTATGCTGATGTTTATATGAAGTGATTCTTGCGCCGGTTTTGTTAGCAAAGAAACGGATAACAAAACAGCAAAATTTGTTGAGAATTCAACGGCTGGACCACAAAACTGTGCAAAAAATCTTCAAGTATAACAATTATTGGAGGAAAACTAGCTGCATTAATGCCACGCTATAACGATACGCTTGCTGAGCAATAGAGAAAGGCCCTACAGAAAAACGGGGAACACTTTTTTTTTATATTTTTCCCTTCTGAGACATAGGGGTGCTCAGAAGTAGCTCGAGAGGTAGCATATGCCAATATCAACCACTCGCTGGCAAGGTTGTCGATGGCTTCCTCTTTCAAGAGCAGCTAAGCTGATGGCGGTTTTGAATGCCAGTACTATAGTCTAGTACCACTTTTTCACGGGCAAAAGCGAATTTTCGACAAGCTAAACGCAAATTTGAGACAATACAAGTGAAATTTGGAAAGATCTGCTTGCCTTAAACAGTTCAATTTCAACAAAAAATTAAAGCAACGTATAAAATTCATTTTAAAATGCTGGATGCTTTTCAACAAGTTGTTCAAGTCTGGTGATGAACAGTTCACTGGCAGTCTGTGTGTTCGTTTCTATCAGCGGATTTCTTATTACAGTATCAACATAGGCCTGTAAAAAGAGTAGAGTGTTTTTTAAGAAAATGATAATTGGCCCGTGCACCCACTGTCGATGAGAAAATGCGTTTTTTCCGCTGTTCGTTGCAGGTTTTTGTCGCTAACGGCACTGGTTTTTTTTCCGGCAGATGCTTCTAGCTAAAAGAATTGAGACTGGCCACCACGACTGTGAAGAAATATTCCCTTAAAATTTCAGCTTCCTAGATTTTCTGGTTCACGTAAGACCTAATAAGTTCAAACCCAGTCCCCAGTTTTAAATAGTTGCCACGCATGGGCCCGTCACAAATTTTCATAGGCCCGTACGTTGGAACTATGTACAACTGGGAGCTGGATTTGAACTCATTAAGTCCTACATGAACGAGGAACATTCCCTCAAAATTCCTACTTTCTAACTTTTCAGGTTCCCGAGTTAGCAACTCAGCTGCAAAAAATTTTCATAGGCCCGTACGTCAGGACCACGTGGAAAAGAGTGTACAATTTGGGCATGGGGGCCCATACATGAAAGTAGATTAAGGTCCCAAAGTTTCAGCCTCCTTGCTTCTGTAGGTCTCGAGACGAAAAATCGATACAGACACACATGCACACACACAGATATGTACATACAGGGACAACCCTTCGACAATATGCGCTTTTGCAATGCATAGATGCAAAAAAAAAAAAATTTAAAAAAAGAAAGGCTAATTTGAAAGATATAGCAATCGGATATAGGATAGCAAAACCTGATATATGCATCGTAGAAGTTCCGGAATTCCGGCTGCACTGGGATCGGTGTTGAGTACCATTTTCAGACCGCTGGGAATTTCCAAATAATTCAATTTGTACTGGCTAGTTTCAAAACTTTTCACTTGCTGAAGCCTGAAATACGTCGAGGGTTTTGATGAGCAGAAATTCCAGAAATTAAACGAAGCATGTAAGTCTAACAACTTAAAAAAAACGTTTCAATTTTCTTAATAATTGGCCAACGCACCGGCAGCCGTTGGGAAGATGCGCTTTTTGCATAGTCCCCCATAGTTTTTGTCGCTATAGCACCGGTTTTTCCGGCAAATGCTTTTAGCTAAACAAATTAAGATTGGTCGCCAGAACTGTCAGAAAACACCCCCTTAAAATTTCAGTTTTCCAGCTTTCCCGGTTCCCGAGCTAGCAATTTACTCGAAAAAAATTTCACAGGCCCGCACGTGGGTACCACGCAAACCCGGTGTCTGGTTTTAAGCTCATTAATACCTATCTGGATGGAGAACATCCCCTTAAAGTTCCAATCCTCTAGCTTCTCAGGTTCCCGAGTTAGCCGCTTACCCGAAAAGCTTTCACGGGCCCGTACGTGGGTACCTTGCGGGTAAGAGCGCTCATTTTGGAGAATGGGACCTGTACGTGCATGCAGATTCAGTTCCCAAAGTTTCAGCCCTATAGCTTTTGTAGGTTTTGAGATGAAAAACTGTGACGGACGCACACACACAGACACACACACACAGACAATCCCTCGTCAATATGTATTTTCTGCATTGCATAGCTGCAAAAAACGCATTAAAAAAACCAGATATTTCAACTTCCGAAAAGTATATTTAAATGAACTGACGTGAAGTAAATACTATTTCTGATTGGTGCAAGCCAAATTTGAATCAATAGGGTATTCCATTATGGATCAGAAATGATAACGTTTGAAGATGACATTCAAGTAATACAAAGTATTCAAGTAAATAACGCGGGATGAATATTACACTTGAAAAAAATGAGCTCATTTTGAAGTTCGAGTGGTTTGCATTGGTTTTTAAAAACCCGAATTCTACACGAAATTCTTTTTATATTAAATTTTATTCCAAAATTTCAATTTCTGATTTTCAATAAATCCAAGCGAAACTCAAAAAAAAGGAAGAACGATACCCTGATTTAGTTGATAACTTTGATGAAAATGAACGAAGCGACAAAAGCATTCCATACATCAGCTTATATTCCTGCAAAATTCATTCGTTCCCAAAAAAATAACGAAATTTTGGATGTCTGTACAAATACACACACACACATACATACACACACTACACATATACACCCACATACATACACTTTGAAGCACACATACTCACATACATTCTGAGGCACATACATATACATATGCATGCATAAACAAATAACACACATGTACAAAAAAACATGTATAAACAAGCATATATGTAGAAATGTAAAGAGATAACATATTCGCACACATACAAACAGACAAATACATTCACACACATACACAATACATACATATATATGCATACATACATACATACATACATACATACATATGTACACACATGCATACATACATACATACATACACACATACATACATACATACATACATACATACATACATAC